ACTGAAACCTTTTTCTTTTCTTGTGACAATAGTACCTCCTAAAGGAAGAACTGCATCTTGTTCTTGCATTGGAGAGTTCAGTTTGTAACCTAGGACTTGCTTGTCGTCAGTGCACAGAAATTAGATCAATCTGATACCATACATATTTTTAGAAATGATTTGGAAAATATTTGAACATCTTGTCTTAAAGTATTTTATTCATCATGTTAAAATAAAATGTTCCATAATCATTTTTTTTTTCTTTTTTCAATTTTTTGGAAAAAAACAAAAAAGGCTTCAGGAAAAAAACAAGTTTCCCCCCCAAATTATCCCGTTTTTTCCTCGGGCCTTCACATCTCTACCCCAATATAAGGAGTATTACTTGTTGCCATCTTGGATTGGTTTTAATTTATTGTTTTACTGTCAACAGCTTTAATGATACGTTAATTGTATTTTAAATTTTTATGAGGTTGTAAATCACTCAGAGTCTGCTTGCAGGATGGGCGATTCATAAATCCAATAAATAAACAAATGTTTGCAGAATAACCTGGGCTGGTCACAGACTCTAAGTCTAACTTGCCTCAGAAGGGTGTTGGGAGGATGATAAAAGGGAGGAGAGGGGAATGATGTGAGCTGCTTCAAGTCCCCGTTGGAGAGAAAAGTGGGGTATAAATGAAGTAAGTAAGTACTAGAACAGCGGCAACCAAATACGTTCAGTAAGAGTCACTTTGGGGATTTACAGGAGACGGAAATGGAGCTCTAGCATAGGGGTGTCGAACTCATTTGTTACGAGGGCCGGATCTGACATAAATGAGACCTTGTTTGTGTCATCAAATCTAATGCCAGGTAGCGGAGATATAAACTTTATAAAGGACACAAACACACAAGATTTTTTTTAACTTGAAATAAAAACATGCTTTAAAACATTAGCTCTGTAAGCTCTGCAAACCTACTTTTGATTTATTGACATTCACCACAGAAATCTCATGCTCAGAGTTCTGAGTCTAGGACCTAGGTTAAAACATGAAATGGCCGAGTAATTAAGAGAGTCTGGCAAAGCAAACTGTGATGCAGCAGCAGAACTGGAAGCAGGAGATGGCCAGTTCCACTGCGGGTCTGATGGAGGCCCTCCGGGGGCCTGATCCGGCCCCCGGGCCGCATGTTTGACGCCCCACTATAGCGTTTTGCCTGTCTGCACACATGTGTAAATCCATGCAGACACAGCTCTCCTCCTCCCAGCCTTCCACTCAAGAGAGTCCCTTTCTAATGACCTAGGGATAGGGGCAGAAGCATGCTAACCGAGACTAACTTTCCTATAAACCACTCCCAAAAGATAAAGCAGGGATTAACTAGGACATACCACCACTGGCGAAATATGGGAGTCTCCACTTTCATACTGACTTACTGATTTCTATTTTTGGAATTAAACTAATTGCATGTGCGCCTTTGAGCCACACCTTCCCGTCTAGATTGAGCACGTACAGTTGTAAAGGCACATTGCAAAAAGAGAGAGAGACAGACAGAGGGTTGATTCTATGTAGCAACAGGCTTGTTGGGATTAAAGAAAACCCACAGAAGTTGGGTTTTCTTTATGCAGCGGAAATTGGGTGAGTGCAAATGCGAAGCACATCCCGCTCCTGATTTGTGCAGGGGTGGGGGGAACTAGAACCAGGACTGAATCCAGACCCATTGTCACAGGGGGCATTTGGGGGCAATGCCCCCCACAGATGAGTGTCACCCCCTGCAGACAAAAAAATCAGTCAAGGAAGCTCATTCAGTCTCATTTTCTTTTTTCCTGGCTGAAAAGTAAATAGGTTTTTTAAAAATGCAAATAAAATAAAATTGCAAAAAGTAAAATAAAATTGTAAAATGCAAAAGCAAGAGAGTCTGAGATTTCCCCCCTCTGGGCCCAGCTTACACTAAAAAGCAGCCCGGAATCGAGTCTCTCCAATCGAAAGGACTAGAGGAGGACTAGAGGTTGCAGTGGAGCCGGAGCTGCTGCTTCTGCTGCTGCAAGAGGAGCACCAGGTGCAGCCAGGGCAACCCCCCCCCCGAATTCCCCCCACACACCACCAACCAACATTTTCTGGCTGCGCCCCTGACTGAATCTTAGTATGTCCCAAATGCAGTAGACAATCCCAGCCCTTTTCCCCTCTGCTCATAATACTTGGGATATGCCCCTGAAATTCATTGTCAAGGAGGTTCCAGACTAGGAAAAGGAAGCATTTCTTCAGCATAAGCCTAAATTACAAGACTCCCCGGCCCGAGGTGAGGTGCCTTCTTGCTTAAGATGCCGGTTAACTGCTCTCCTCCCTTACACTGGCACTGCCAAGGAGATATCCGCTTATCTCCTATTCTCCCTGCCCTTCCCCTTTTAGAATTTAAGCCCGAAGGCAAAAGCTGAGTCTTCCTTTGCTTCCAGCAGAGCACCTTCTAGTTCGCTTAAGCTCTCTACAAAATGGATGAAGAGACTGACAAAGGTCCAGGGATGTGTCTATCAGTGGCTATGAAAGGCAGAGAGAATTTATACATTGCTTTTCTCCCCAGTGGGGACACGAGCAGTTTACGTCATTGGCACTTCCTCCATATTATCTCAACGATCACCCTGTGAGGTAGGCGAGGTTGAGAGAGTGACTGGCCCAAGGTCATCCAGTAGGCTTCTATGTCAGAATGGGAAGCTGAACCTGGCCATCCCAGACCCTCATCTGACACTCTAGGCATAAAACCACGCTGGCTGTCAATGGAACTTCCACAGACAGAGGCAGGATACCATCTCACAAAGATGCCAGAGAGAAACAATAGGAGAAAGCGGTCAGGTTCACGCCCTGGTTTGCGAAGACACAGAGCTGTGTGCTTTGCTGTTATTGGAAACAGAGCGTTAGCCAAAGGTTTGATCCAACAAGGCAATTCTTGTGGCCACCTTGCCTTAAAGCCCAGTCATCCAATTCTCCAAGAGCCAAAGTCCACAGAGCCCTAAGAAAATCTCCTCATGTATTGCCCCAATTTTACAAGCAAGCACTGAATTCTTCAGCCTTAGGATAGCAAACGTATCACACGTATTTGCTTATTGTATCTTGTCTCAGCAAGTCCTTTACAGTAAAGCTCCATTCTCAGACTACAGGAAACCCTTCCCATTCTCTCCCGTCACAGTCCCCGAGATTTTGTCAGGCATTAGCCCACATATTGAAAACTCATCCTTGTAGGGCTACAAGTCTGTCTTTAAAATGTGGAGTTAAAACTGGCGCTTTTAAAAGACACTACTTTGCCCTGACCTGGATAGCCCAGGCTAGCCTGGTCTCATTAGAGCTTGGAAGCTAAGCAGGGCTGGCCCTGGTCAGTATTTGGATGGGAGACCTCCAAGGAATACCAGGGTTGCAACGCAGAGGCAGGCAATGGCAGACCACCTCCGATTGTCTCTTGAACACTCCATGGGTTCGCCACCGGTCAGCTGTGACTTGACGGCAAAAAACCAAAACAAACGTCGTCTATCCAAGAATAATTTTGTTGCTTGTGACACACAATGAAGGACTTGCACACACATCTCTACAAGATCTTCTCTCCCCACAGCTCTCCACTATCATATAGCCTGCCCGGCCTCATCCTGAACCAGCACGGAAACAGAGTTTGTGTTGAGGATATAGAGAGTCAGACATAGTTTATGTGGGGAAAAACCCAATTTAATGTCAAAGAGCACAGGCCCTGAAGGGAAGGCACTTAAGAAGAGGTCAAACTTTGCTACGTTTACACACTTCACACCTGCCATCACCTCCACTGATCCAAGTACCGAATCTGCCACATGTGTGAATTTCATGTCTTGGTTCAGCTAAAGCACAAGGCAGGGACTAGTCCTTTCACTGCTGCTTGGCAAGTTCAGGGCGTTCCACCAGAACATTCCAGAATGTTCTTTCAACATTTTGATGTGTCTGAGGCTTGCAGAAGAGGCACTCACAATGTTGTGGTACCTAACAGTCTTTTACTTCTTCCGCCGGTGCTTTGGCTTCTGTTCTTTCTTCTTCTGGGCTCTCATGTCCTTCTTGAGACGGCTGTCGACCACCTTGAACTCACCTTTCACTCCTGCAGGGCGGCGAACCTTCCGGCCCGCGCCTTTCTTGGCCACGACATAGGTTACCTTCCGTTTTTCCTTGCCTAATCCTGCCTTCTTGTAGAGGCTGCAGGTATGGGGGAAGGAAAGAAACAGGCATGAGTGTCTTTTCTCCTCAGAAACGATACTCAACTCTCACCCCCAAGGAAGCTGCAGGAGCCTTGCCCCTAGTTTGGACGAGCATTCCCTGCTCATTTATTTACATAGAATATATTTATGCCATCTCTCCGGGGAACTTGTTTGAGGTGGCTCACAAAGTTAAGATGACAAAACAGCACACACACATACAAAATAAAATTAGTGAACCATTTAAAGCCAAGCTATTGAAAACCCAGCCAGAGCACAGAGATACCACAAGACAGATAAGCAGCCTAAAATGACCCTCATAACAAACTCATCAGGTTAGAAGCAGATTGTAAAAAAGCAATTTAAAAAGAGGAGGAGAGGAGATTGGATTTATACGCCATCCTTCACTACCTGAAGGAGTCTCAGAGCGGCTTACGATCCCTTTACCTTTCCTTCCCCACAACAGACATCCTGTGAGGTAGGTGAGGCTGAGAGAGCTCTTTTGAAAACTGCCCGTGAGAGAATAGTTCTGAAAGAACTTATGACTGACCCAAGGTCATACCAGCAGCTGCGTGTGGAGGAGAGGGGAATCAAACCCGGTTCTCCCGGATTAGAGTCCGTGCTCCTAACCAGTACACCGAAAGCCTGAGAAAAAGGAAATACTTGGGTCTGGTGCCTAAAACAGCAGGCACAGGGTGAGCCTCAAGAGGGGAGATTCCAAAGGCGAGATGCCGCCAGTGAAAAACCCCTGTAGGGAGGATGGAAGGCAAACAGGGTTTGTGAGAAGAATCTTAAAATGGTGGGCTGGACAACAGGGGAGGAGGCAGTTCTAACATACCCTGTTCCCAATCCATCTGAAGGCTCTCACTTTATATCTCAGCTGACCACTTTGGGATCCTCTTCTTTCTCTCCGTCCAAAACTCAGGCCCATAAACTTGACCCACAAAACAAAGCTTTTTAAACATCACTAACCACTGGCTGAGAAAGAGCACACGTCTAAGCTTCCTCAAAGGGCTATTAAGAGGAGCCAGTTTCGTGTAGTGGTTAAGGTTCTAGTCTGGGAGAACTGGGTTTGATTCCCCACTCCTCCACTTGGAGCTGTTGGATGACCTTGGGCAAGCCATAGTTCTGTCAGAGCTGTTCTCTCAAGGGCAGTTCTCTCAGAGCTCTCTCAGCCCCACCTACCTAATAGGGTGTCTGTTGTGTGGAGGAGAAGGGAAAGGAGTTTATAAGCCGCTCTGAGACTCTGAGTGAAGGGCAGGGGTATAAACCCAATCTCTTTTCTTCTTCTAAAATGAGAGTGGGGAGAACTACGCATATACCACCTTTCGTTCCTTTGGGAAAGACTGGGATGGAAATGCAGCAGATGGATCACAGGAGGAGATGAGAAATTTCATCAGGGCCCTGAAGAAAAGTTCAAAGTGGGCTGGCTCTAGCTCCGTCTGAAACTAAGCAGGCCTAATTTGTTGGGGAGAACCCACCATAAATTCATGTCTTAAGATCCTTGCGGGACAAACGGGCAGGACACAGAATAGAAACAAAGTTCACGATGGTATCCACTGATCCTCCCCTAATATCTAGATTATATGTATGTCCCTTGTGCTCACACCACACCCAAGCGCTCAACCATGTTTACTTATGCAAAGTTGAGACGGGACAGCGGAGGAGTCGTTTAGAAGAAGAGGAGACTGGATTTATACCCCGCCCTTCACTCGGGAGTCTCAGAGCGACTTACAATCTCCTTTTCCTTCCTCTCCCCACAACAGGCAGGTGGAGCTGAGAGAGCTCTGAGAGAACTGTGACTGACCCAAGGTCACCCAGAGCAGGCTTCATGTGGAGGACAAGTGGGGAATCAAATCCAGCTCCGCAGATTGGAGTCTGCCACTTTTAACTGCTACACCAGGGGGTGGCCAAACTTGCTAAACACAAGAGCCACATAGAATAAACATCAGATGTTTGAGGACCGCAAGACATGAACAAATGTCCCAGTTTTTACTGGGAAATATGCAAGTTTGCTTTTTATTAACATTAAACGAGACTGCCAAAAATAATAACAAAAGTGGTAAAAACAGATATTGATAATATTTGTCCAATTATATTTGTTTGCTAATGACATTTAGCTTCCCCAGCCACCCTGCCGGGAGCCACACAATGCGTGTAAAAGACACGTGGCTCCCAAGCCACAGTTTGGCCACCCCTGCGCTACACCAAACTGGCTCTCTGGGATTTGTTTAGCCTTTGATAGATATTTCTCTCTAAAAAGCAAATGCAGAGTCACTGTCAGATTGTGAAGGTCTCGGAGACAGGCATCAAACCTCAGCCAATCATGCCTGTGCTAACCTGCCTCAGGTCCTTAGGGGTAAAAATTGCGATTGTTTCCTACATCAATAGCACTTACATCTAATTTGACAAGATGGCGCATGTTAGGAAGTTGGTGGATCTGGACTGGGAACAGGTAGTGGCTGTTGAGAGCCAGTTTGGTGTAGTGGTTAAGTGCGCGGACTCTAATCTGGGAGAACCGGGTTCGATTCCCCACTCCTCCACTTGCACCTGGCTGGATGACCTTGGGCAAGCCGTAGTTCTGATAAGAGCTGTTCTTGAAAAAGAGCAGTTTCTGTCAGAGTTCTCTCAGCCCCGCCTACTTCACAGGGTGTCTGTTGTGGGGAGGGGAAAGGAGTTTGTAAGCCGCTCTGAGACTCCTTTGGGTAGTGAAGGGTGGGGTATAAATCCAATCTCTTCTTCTTCTACCACAAAATGGCTGCCATGGGGCCTGTATCACAGTTTCAGAAGGTTCTAAACCAGGCGTCTTCCTGTGACGGAGGCAGCTGTTTCCAAATGGCGGCGCACTGCATATGCACCTCCTAGACTTTTTCGAAGCACCTTTTCCTGTGAGTTGGAGGAAAGCCAGGATTGGCTCTTTGCTGTGACGAAGGAGGAAACCGGCATCTGGGAACACATCAGCAGGCACTACAGTGCCCACGGGCACCAGGTTGGAGATCACTGGTCTACAGTCTGTTATAATACGTACACTGAGCTCTGAGATACAGTTTGTAAAAAAAGAAGAAGAAGAAGAAGAAGTTGCCTTATGGATTCCAGGGCAATTTAATGTCCTGGCTATAACTGATAAAAAGGACAAGCGGAGAAACAAACATTTCCTGGAAAACCACTTATCTTAAATAGGATTAATTAGTGTTGCTGATAAAGTAGCTTCCTACAACAGTCTTTGAACTGTGTTTTAAATTAAAGGTTTAAATTAAAGGTCAACACAGAGTGTGTGCGTGCCTTGCTCAAGAGCCTGAGAGCCAGCACAGACTATTTGCTTATCACGGCACCCACAGTTCACGGCTTGTTATTTGCAAATATGCAGTTTTAATTTGCGACTTGAAAGCTGACTCACAGACGGCAAATGGATGTAATGAACCCAGCACGAGGGCTCCGCAGCATTCCAAAGGGGAGAGGAAGGGAGGTTTGAAACAGGGCAACAGAGATGGAAGAGGAGGGAGAATCATAAAGGGTGAGGACAAGGTAGGTAAAGGTAAAAGGTTTCCCTTGCTCAAAGCCAGTCGAATCTGACTCTAGGGGGCAGTGCTCATCTCCGTTTCTAAGCCGAAGAGCCAGCGCTGTCCGAAGACTTCTCCGTGGCCATGTGGCCGGCCTGACTAGATGCCGAGGTACAGGGAATGCTGTTACCTCCCTACCGAAGCGGTACCTATTTATCTACTTGCAGTTTCTTGCTTTTGAACTGCTAGGTTGGCAGGAGCTGGGGCTGGGGCCGGAAGCTCACTCCGTCATGCGGCACTCGGGTCTCGAACTGCCGAACTACAGACCTTCCGGTCTGCAGCTCAGCATCTTAACTTCTGAGCCACTGCAGCCCCTGAGGAAGAGGTAAGGACAGCTTAAAAAACCCCGAAAAATGGCTACATAAAATTTGGGATTATTGAGCCATGGAAAAGATGTCAGACCAGATCTTAGCCTCCAAGAATCCAATGTTATCAGTCTTGCGTTTTGGAAAGATGGTTCTCCTTCTTTGAGTTTGTAGAGCACCAAAAAAGTACACTACAATAATACCAGACAGAGACAGGCAGAATACTTTTAGCTCTTCCCTATTCCTCTACCGTTGCTGTTATTGACTCTGCGTTTTCCCAAGTTATTCTTTTTTTTCGAAACAAACGACTGGATGGATTTTTCCTGCATTTATATATTGACCATTTTTTAATTAAATAAAATTGATAAAAAAAGAGATTAAGGAAGAAGGCAGAGCAGAAGAGACGAGTGTGATCAAACGGGCAGTGTAGCAGGAGGAGGTCACAACTGGACCGAAGAAAGGTGAGACAAGCTAAAGAGGACACTTCTAGAGGGGACAAAAGAGACAACGTGGTAGATGGGAGCACATGTGAGACCATTCAGCAAGACACTGAGCAGTTAGTGCAACTTTTTTGCTCCGGCCCAGGGTTCCCCAATGTGGCACTCGCCAACACCAGTTTGGTGTAGTGGTTAGGAGCGCGGACTCTAATCTGGGAGAACCGGGTCTGATTCCCCACTCCTCCACATGTAGCTGCTGGTGTGACCTTGGGTCAGTCACAAGTTCTACTAGAGCTGTTCTCTCAAGGGCAGTTCTGGAAAGAGCTCTCTCAGCGCCACCTACCTCACAGGGGGTCTGTTGTGGGGAGGGGAAGGGAAAGGAGGTTGTAAGCCACTCTGAAACTCTTTCGGGGAGTAAAGGGCAGGGTATAAATCCCATCTCTTCTTCTTCTTCTTCCTTCCTTCCTTCCTGGTGCCTGCCAAGTGTTTTTACAAAATGGGGGGAGCCAGGTGGGGCTTTTGCGCAGCACGGCTTCTGACTGGCCTTTGGAGATCGGACTGGCTGTGCAGATGCTTTAAACCACTGCGTTGGCAGCAGCTGCCATCGCAGCACCAGGAACTTCAGTGCAACTGAAGGTAAGCTGCAGCAGCCATTTTACGGCTGGCTCCACCTCCTGCAGCGGCTGTCCTTTTGGCATTTTGTGGCTCTGCCCACCATGCTGTGTCAGAATTCCAAAGGCACCCACAGATTCAAAAAGGTTGGGGAACCCCTGCTCTGGCCCATCTCCTCAAACACCTGAGGACATCTGGCTCAAGATTAATACCACTCTGCTCAACAATATTTTCCACGTCTGACCTTAAATCAATCATCAAACAGCCACTGACAGATCTGATTACTAAAACCCTCACAAGATCCTAAAAAACATCTTATATCTTACATATATAACATTCTTAGTGAGCTTGAAAACTACAAGTACCTCTCTTATCAGTCAGCTTGGCAAAAAGACTCTCCCAGATGTCTTTCGGAACTCTCTGTGGCATTCACCTCCATTTAAAACAATAGTAACCACTATTAAGTTACAAGCTTTTAAACTAGTGTCATATTGGTACTTAACCCCTAAGAAAATTGGACATTCAAATCCACACAAATGTTGTTGGAGAAAATGTGGATTATTTGGTTCTTACCTTCATTGCTGGCTATATTGCCCCATATCAAAAAAAATTTGGGATATGGCTCCGAATCGCATAAAAACTATTACAGGTCTTAATATTCTCTCTTCTCCTGCTAATCTTTTTCTGAATGGTTTGGCCAGCCATACAGCATGTGCATCCCAAACGGGAAATCATTCCCATCCTTCTCTCAGCTGCTCGAACAGCAATTGCTACTTGATGGGAAAACCCACATCCCCCAAACCTGTCTCTCTGGCACAAGAAACACTCGGACTTCTACATCATGGCTAAAATAACACTTAATACCTCTCCACTAGCCTCTGCTTCAGCTCTTACTAACTTTTCTGCTACTTGGCTCCCAGTATTAGATTACTTACCGACACAAGATGATGAAATATCTAGTATAATGAATCAACTACATTTATGGTGACAACATAAGGATTATGTAGCTTAGTATCTCTTTCTCTTCTCTCCTGATTTATTTTGTTTTCCTCTTACTCTCTCTTATTTTTCCCCTTCGCCTCTATATTATCAAATATACTTCTGCTCCACTGACAATAGCTATGACTCAATTTTGTAACTGTTATACCACTTATTGTTACATTCTTAAGCCTCTGTATTTCATATTTATCTTTCAATAAAATGTTAATTAACCAATATTTTCGAAGTCTGGACTTGGGGGATTGCATTTCCTGCTTTTACGCACATTTTTTACAATTCTTTTTTTAAAAAATTACTCTTAAAGTAGTACATTATTTCAACCCATTTGTGTTATCCAGACAAACTGTTGCTCAAAGTAGGCAAAGCAGTCCATAGCCTTTCGGAGCAACACGACCCTCGAATAAAGCCTTCTACTGTAAGTATATCAAGTGCCTGCCCTGCCACAAGGAAGGAACCTTGTCCCCTGAATTAAACAGCCATGGACCTCAGGCTGTAAGAGAATGTATGGTTATTTTTTCTGATGGTGCAGGTGGCGCACACCTGCATGTCTCAGGGCACCCCTCCGCGTCGACATGGAACCCCCCACGCTGAAGCTGAAAGACCCACCTGCGCAGCTGGGCAGCCTTTTCCCGCTCTGAGATGTCCACAGTGTTGACCACAGACTCTGCTTTCTTCTTCAACTGCTCCATTTTTTTAAGCATCTGTGGACAGGAGACAGAGGGGTTCAGCACAGGAGAACATGCCCCAGGAGAGAGTAAGAGGTGTGTGCACACATGGAGGGGGATGTGGTCCAGTGGCAGAGCATCGCTTGGTGTGCAAAAGGCCCCAGGTTCAATCCCTAACGTCTCCAGGAAAAGGACCAGGTAGGAGGTGATATTGAAACACCTCCACCTGAGACCCTGGAGAGCCATGGAGAGGGCTGTGGCTCAGTGGTAGAGCCTCTGCTTGTCGTGCAGAAGGTCCCAGGTTCAATCCCCGGCATCTCCAGTTAAAAGGACCAGGCCAGTAGGTGGTGGGAAAGACCTCTGCCTGAGACCCTGGAGAGCTGCTACCAGCCTGAGTAGACAATCCTGACCTTGATGGACTGATGGTCTGATTCAGGATAAGGCAGCTTCACATGATCATATCTACCCCAGCTCCTTTTCCATTGCCAGGATGGATCTTGGCTTCCAACCGGCCTTGCATGGGAAGTGGGAGCTTTCCCACATCCCTCTCCATTCCCTGCAACCCCTTCCAACCACCAGAAAGACCACCACCGGGGGTCACGGGACTCGCACTGAGAACTAGCTGGAGTGAGAGTGATCGGGGAGGACGGGACCTGCTCCTCTTCCACAGCCGGAATGGAGAGGGATGCTGGAAGAACTCCACATGCTTTTCCATGCATGGGCGGATGGACGCGAGCCACTTACCCGGCGCTTCTTGCGGGCCTTGGCTTCTGCCACTTTCTTGATGGGCCGGGCGTTGATCTCCCGCCAGCGCTGGCGGTACTCTTCCGCTGCTTGCCGGTTCACAGGCAAGGGTTTGCGCCTGTGCTCCTTCTCGTTCTGGACAAACCACTCGGGGAGCTCGCCTTCCTCCCCGTTAAATGTGTATCTAGGGAGGGGGGACGGGGGAAGACGTACTCAGCAGGCAGGTTAGGACAGCCTCTCTCATGCTTCTGATGCAGAACCCTGACCTGGATGGCCCAGGCTGGCCCGATCTCGTAAGCTAAGCAGGGTACCTGGATGGGCGACTTACGAGGAATACACCCGGGTCGTGACGTAGAGGCAGGCGTCTCTTGCCTTAAAAACAAGTCTAGCTCGCTACCTAGTGGTGCATAACAGTAGAGCCAGAGCTTCTGGCTGCCAGATAACCTTAGGATCTCCTGGCTATATACTAGACACAAGGCCATATGATAATAATAATTATTGTTATTCTGATACAGAAGCACCCCCTCTCTTCAAATTAAAATTGGAAAGCAGTCCTGACTCTGGCACACATACAAAAAGAAAAAACAGCTGATTCTTGGCACCTCTAACGTGAAGGAAGCAAGCCCAGAGATGTGATTCGTCCACAGTTGTAACAGGTAACTCTGAGGGTGGGTGATCTGGCTGCGTTTCTGCAATGGGAATGTTTGAATGGCCTCCTAAAAGCTGATGCAAAGGCCGCTCTGAACAGCATTTGCTTGCTGGAAGGAGCCCTGGGGCCAGAACAGAAAATGATTCAGAGAAGCAACAGGCAGCCTTTCCTAACAATAAGCACTTTGGGGTTGCAGGAACTGCTGCTGGTACCTCTTGCAGTTCTCTCGTAGCATATAATCTGCTCATTATTAAATGACATTATTTATAGTCCACCTTTCTTGCCGGGACCTGAGGCAGATTACACAGAGTGAGTCAAGACAATCACAAGACGTGACATTCAACAAACACTGGCCCCGACTTGGATAGCCCAGGCAAGCCCAATCTCATCAGAGCTCGGAAGCTAAGCAGGTTGACTCTGGCTAGTACTTGGATGGGAGACCTCCTTGGAATACCAGCAGTCGGGAGGACAGGGGCAGGCTTTACTCAGCCACCTCTCTGCATATCCTCCAGGCCCCCAGGAGGGGTCAGTCACCAGAGGTCGCCAGGACTTCCAGGAGCATGTGCACACGCACATAAAAATACAAAAATACAAACAATGAAATAGGATTTGAGTCGTAGGTCCAACCAGAAGTTTAAAAAAACAGAACTGAAGATTAGAGCCGAACATGCTGCCCCAGACACTGGGCTAACTACGTCCTTTGAAATCAGAACGTTACACACTGGTAATCTGACGAGAGAGATTTGCTTCTGGGAAAACGTTAGTCTAAAAGTTACCTTTGAACAAATTCCCTCTCTCCAGGCTCAACCCGTACAGGAACACTGGGTCCTGCGCTTAAAATTCTGCAATGACACAACCTGAGCTCTGTACCAAGGGAGTAGAGGCGTGCAGCCTCCCAAAATGATGCACACTGAAGTAATCTGCAACTTTGCAAATCATGGGGCAGGGCGAGAACTTGCGCAAGGTACGGAAGCACCAGGAAATCTCCCCCCCCACTTCAGAGATTTCAGCGAGGCTACCTTTTAATGCCAGTAACTCACAAAGTAGACTCTTTGCTAGCAAGACTCCACAGCTTAGATGGAGCATTGAACTTAACCTGTACAGAACACTGGGTTCCGTGCTTAAAATTCTGCAATGACACAACCCGAGCTCTGTACCAAGGAAATAGAACCCAGCAGCCTCCTGAAATTTTGCATGCTGAAGCAATCTGCAACGCTGCAAATCACGGGGCAGGGCGAGAACTGCAAGGTACAGAAGCACCAGGTGATCTCGCCACCCACTTCAGAGATTTCAGCGAGGCTACCGTCATAATGGTAAGGGCTAGAAGCTGGTGTGCGTGTGTGTTTACATAGAATAAAGAAAACCCCAATGTAATATTCTTAGGGAGCTAGGTTCTGCTCCCAGTGCTGCGCTCTGTGCGACTTCTGCGTGATCACATCCTCAGGTGCCTCAGTTGAACTTTGTCGCTTCCTGTGTTTCATATTAATGATGTCTTCTGTGGCCCCAGTATTTCTAGAACAGACCGTTCCTGTATCCCCAGTGGCCCCAGAAGCCCCTAGCAATTTCTTCTCAGCCCTCCCACTTCATGCAGGACTTTTCTGGACTCTCCCCACCCCCACCCCCTGCAAGTTACCTGTTGAAAGAACCATCGATCAGATCTCTCTTGGCCTTGCGGGACGTGGCAATGGCCGCTCCCAGCGCCAGCCCTTCGGCATCCAGAACCCGAGCTCGTTTCACTGGGGAGAGATACACAAGTTTCAATCGGCTTCCAGCCTGGCGCCCAGCTCCAGGCTCAGCTGGGAAACAGAAACAAGCAAGGGCAACAGGGAAAAAAGAACCCGTTTCTTCTCTTCCTGCTCACCTGGATCTTCAATGGGAACCACCTCGATACCGTCTGCCTCTGCCAAAGGACGCTTTGCTCCCATTCTTGAAGCTGGCTGCATCCTGAATGGGGAAACGGAAGGCAGCTATGGGACCGGTGGTACCCCCACCCCCACCCCGTGGCTCATAGAACTCAATGGGTGCAATAGATGGACTGTGTGTGAATACGGCATACAAGAGCAATAACTACCTAAAGATGACAGGGTAGGGAGAACTTGGGGAAAGATCAGACCGAATGTATAGCAGGAGTCCCCAACTTTTTTGAGCCTGCAGGCACCTTTGGAATTTGGACACAGCCTCATGGGCGCAGCTACAAAACGGCTGCCGCCGTTCACTTTCGGCCACACAGTGAAGATCCTTGTCTGACGGTGGCAGCTGCTATGAAAGCAGTGTTTAAAATGGCTTTTAAAATCTCCAAAGGCTAATTAGATCTCCAATGGCCAATCAGAAGCCTTGTTGGGCAAATGTCCCATCATGCCCTGCCCACTTTCTACTTGGCATGTACCAGGAAACGTGTCGGCGGGTGCCCAGGCACCCACAGACACCCCGCTGGGGACCTCTGATCTATAGGCTGACTGCTGCCCTACACCAATGTCCAAGAACAGGGATCTACTTTTTAAAATATATCTGTGGTTTTTTTCCTTACACATTACATACTTTGCAAAGTGATGACATCTGCAGAGTAACCTCACACCCTAGATTTTTATAACAATCATCAGTTTAAGATTTTTGGGAAAGATTAAATGGGGGGGTACAATGAGGGAGGGTGAAGGGAAGGGAAGATGGTTGAGAAACGATCCTTTGAAGAAGCAGACAGCAAGAGGGAAATTTGCCAGAGGAGGCACACTGAGGAAAATGGGGCTTCTCATCTAGACAAGTAACACAGACAGACAGAGAGACAGACAGATGCCAAGTCACAGCTGATTTATGGCGGCCCCTCCTGGGTTTTCAAGGCAAGAGACGGTCAGAGGTGTTTTGCCACTGCCTGCCTCCGTATCATGACCCTGGTATTCCTTGTTGGTCTCTCATATAAAATACTGACCAGGACGGATCCTACTTAGGTTCTGAGATCTGATGAGTCTGCTCTAGCCTGGGCTTTCCAGGTCAGGGCTAAGTAACAGATAGCTTGCCCTGTTTTCCTACCTGCGAAGTCTCCCTTTGGACTGGCCAAAAAGGCCCACGGCTCACTTCCAGATGGAAGACTGGCTGCTCAAACTTCGGAGGGTAAGGATGTGCCCACTGACCGAGAGCATCTTCTACCCACTCTCGAAATCCCCCAAAGTCCTCAAGAGGTTGGGAGACCTGGTCTAGTATTTCTGTCTCAGGGTCGTTTCCACACTGTGCATCCAAGCACTACCTTGAACCCCAAAGCCATCTCTCAGCAGTAGTAGGTGTGGACACTGTGATTTTGAGCCACAATGCAGTAGAAAAGCTCCCTGGTGTACCACCACTTAAGCAGTTACACTAGAGTAATGGATCTGGGAGTCCCAGGTTTGAATCCCTAATCTGCCATGGAAGCTTGCTGGGTGACCTTGGGCCAGTCACCCACTCTCAGCCTAACCTCCCTCACGGGGTTGTTGTTGTGGTGAGGATAAAATGGAGGAGGGGGAAAGAATGGTATCATAAGCCACTTCACATCCCACAGCAGAAGTCGCATTCATCATGCTCCAAAAGAGCTGCTGCTGAGAAACACATTCCCAGCAGTCGAAATCAAGAGTCACCCCAGCCACCTGTTATCTCAGCGGCCAAAACACGCTCAGGCAACCCCTCATGGCAGAATTATGTCACCTCTCCTCATCGCTGTCGCTGCTGTCACTCTCGTCCGTGTCAGAGTCCTTCGCTTCCTGTAGTTCTTTGGTTCCTGCAGAATCCTGGCCTCTGTCAAGGGTCAACTCTGGTGCGGCCTCCTGCTTGGGCACTTGTTTTGGCTTCTTTTCCACCTTTCGGGAAACTAGGAAAGAAGAAGAAGAAGAGATTGGATTTATACCCCGCCCTTCACTCGGAGTCTCAGAGCAGCTTACAAACTCCTTCCCCTTCCCCTCCCCACAACAGACACCCTGTGAGGGAGGTGGGGCTGAGAGAGCTCTGAGAGAACTGCTGGTGAGAGAACAGCTCTGAGAGAACTTGTGACTGACGCAAGGTCACATCAGCAGCTGCAAGTGGAGGAGTGGGCAATCAAACCCAGTTCTCCGCGCACTTAACCACTACACCAAACTGGTCAAGGCCACAGGTCAAGCTTGGGACCTCTCCTCCCTCAAAGCACCCTCCATACTCACGAGTGAAGACCTGTGATAACAAAAATTCAGACAGGGCACCTGCACAAGTCCTAACCAATGTATACATTTTAGTGATGGGACAGGGGCTTCATCTATTGGGCTCTAGCCGCCTGAATCAGAAGGAACACCCCGTAGGTCAGTAAAACCTCATCCGTCCCGCAAATGAAGAAGAAAGAGATTGGATTTATCACACACAGTCCTTCACTACCCAAAGGTGTCTCAGAGCGGCTTACAAACTCTTTTCCCTTCCCCTCCCCACAACAGACACCCTGTGAGGTAGGTGGGGCTGAGAGAGCTCTGACAGAGACTGCTCTTTTTCAAGAACAGCTCTTATCAGAACTATGGCTGGTCCAAGGTCATCCAGCAGCTGCACGTGGAGGAGTGGGGAATCAAACCCAGTTCTCCCAGATTAGAGTCCGCACACTTAACCACTATACCAAACTGGCATCTTGAGGATGACGCCCCAAGGACCCTTCAACAGAGTAGTTGCAGGGGGGTGTCACATTAATCAGTCCCCTTCTTTGGCTGGATGGTTTAGCATAGTGCTCTTACGACCTTCCTGGACCCAGGACCCACCCCTACTTTGCAGTGGCAGCCGTGGGAGCCACAGAGTTACAAGCACATGACAGGAAGTCACATGACAGTCACACGTCAGTAGGGGATGGAGCCATGGTCTTCACTTCATCATGCAGAGCTCAGGAGGACCTGCTGGCAGGGATGGCTGAGCCAGGCAAGGGGGAAGGAGTGAAATAAGACAAGGAAGAGCTTTTCCCCCTCAGAGAGGATGCAAGGAAGGTCAGGAGGTCAGGTGACCCTTTGCTCTCTGTGCATGCACAAGGGTGGCGGGTCCTTCTAAAAAACAGCTCAGTACGACAACAGCTCACAGCCTGTAACCAATGTGAGTACTCCAGCATCACCATGCCAGGATGCATCTCTCATACTGAGGTTTTGCCCTATAAATCCCCTCTGACTTTGGGGTTAAGAACGCAACATCAGAACAGCCCTGCTGGATCAGACCAAAAGTCCATCTAGTCCAGCACCCTGCTTCACACAGTGGCCAACTAGTTCCCCTGGACAGCCAGCAATAGGGAACAGAGGCCGAGGGCTTCCCCTGATAAGAACATGTAATAAGAGCCCTGCTGGATCAGACCAGTGGTCTATCTAGTCCAGCATCCTGTCTCACACAGTGGCCATCCAGTTCCTCTAGAGGGCCAACAAGGCATCGAGACCAAGGCCTTCCCTGAGAAGAACATAAGAAGAGTCCTGCTGGATCAGACCAGTAGTCCACCTAGTCCAGCATCCTGTCTCACACAGTGGTCAACCAGTTCTTCTGGAGGGCCAACAACAGGGCATAGAGGCTGAGGCCTTCCCCTGATAAGAACATAAGAACAGCCCTGCTGGGTCAGACCAGTGAGGGTCCCTCTAGTCCAGCATCCTGCCTCACGCAGTGGCTAACCAGTTCCTCTGGAGGGCCAACAACAGGGCAGAGAGACTGAGGCCTTCCCCTTATGCTGCCTCCTGGCTCTGGGATTCAAAGGCCTAGTAGCCACTAATAGACTGAATCTCTCTAATCCCCCTTTTTAAGCTGTTTATTCCCGTTGCCATCACTACCTCCTCTGGCAGCATTTTCATCACTCTCTGTGTAAAGTAGCATTTCTTTCTGTCTGTCCTGAACCTACTGCCCATCAGCTTCACTGGATGCCCTCAAGTTCTACTATTTTGGGGGTGGAATAAAAAGTCCTCTTTGTCAACTTTCTCTGCCCCATGCATAATTTCAACTGGGGGCATTCCCCTTGGAAGGAGTGGCAGAGTTATCTCTTCAAGCAATGAGCAAGCTGTTTTGTTTATTTATTAAATTTATACCCCGCCCTACCTCAAAAAATGGGCTCAGGGCGATTATTAGGGAGGTCCTCAAAGAGCCACTGTGGTGCAGTGGTCAGACTCTAGGACAAGGTTCTGTGCACCTCAGGTTCAAATCCCCCCATCTACCTCACGGGGCAGCCATGAAAATAAAATGGGAGTTGAGTGATGCAAACCACTTTGGGTCCCCATTGGGGTGAAAGGTTGGGTATAAAATAGACTACTACGTAATCTCTATGGTTATATTCCACCTGGCTTCTTCTGGTAGAGGTAAAGGTTTCCCTTGCTCGAAAGCCAGTCGAATCGGACTCTAGGGATGCAGCGCTCATCTCCGTTGCCAAGCCAAAGAGCCTGCACTGTCCGAAGATGTTTCCGTGGTCATGTGGCCGGCATGACTAGACGCTGAGGCGCACAGAACGCTGTTACCTTCCCTCTGAAGCGGTACCTATTTATCTACTTGCAATTTCTTCCTTTCAAACGGCTAGGTTGGCAGGAGCTGGGATCAGAGAGGGGAGCTCACTCTGTCATGCGGCACTCGGGTCTTGAACTGATGAACTACCGACCTTCTGGTCTGCAGTTTAGCGTCTTAACCACTTGAGCCACCACAGCCCCAGCTTCTTCTGTTCCTGCTTTTTTTTATTACCCCACTGGCTCTATTTAACTTACTACTTGTTTTTTTGTATGTGTGTTGTAGTTTCAAAAACATCACTAGCCGCCTTGAATAACCAAGAGGGTCCGGATAGGTCTGTTTCCTCCCCGCTGTTTATTTTCATCTCCACCACCGGGCCCAAAAAACCCCGGGAACAAAGGGGTTTACCTGCAGCAGGTGCCGCCTGGCTCTGGGACAGCATCTGGGCCTGCCCGATCTCCAGGTCTTCATCGCCGTTATCATCGATCCCAGCAAAAGCTTCCTGAGTAGCAGGAAAGAAAAAACACACAACAAACAAACAAACAAACAAAAAGGATCAACACAGAGGTAGAACCATCCCTTCCCTGCATGTCTCCAGGGCGCACAGCATCAATTCCACCGGCACTCCCTGTATGCTCAGCTGGGGAAGGGGGAAAGACACCCACCTTACCAAACCACAGGTGGGCCTGATGTTTCTCACGTTCTTCCTTGTCCTCCAGAGGCACCAACAGGGGATTCCCGGCCTCTGCATCCTCCTCCTCTTCCTCAGCAGCCCTACAATGAATTGTCAGAACTCCCAATGAAGCACAAATCACATCTCCACACCTCTGCTGGTTCCCTCCCCATACAGGTGAGGGATGCTCCACATGGCAAAGGCAGAACAATTGTCTCTTGTAAGCACGTTCTTGCTGCCCTCCAGAGGCCAGAAGCTTATACTACAAGATGCAATGCAAGCCCACAATATACAATATTCTTCTCTGCAGGTCAACTTTGACAATACACCTGGGCGAATTGATGGTCTGCTGAGGGTCGTGGAAGAAGAAGAGCAGGTTTTTATACCCCACTTTTCTCTACCTTATAATTGCCTTTCCCTTCCCTCTCTCCATGGCAGTCACCTTGTGAGGGAGGTGGGGCTGAGAGAGAACTGTGACTGGCCCAAGGTCACCCAGCAGGCTCCATGTGGAGAAGTGGGGAATCAAACCCAGTTCTCTAGATTAGAGTCCACTGCTCTTCATTTTGGTGTAATGGTTAGGAGCCTGCACCAGTGTTCCCTCTAAGCCGCGCTAGTGTGAGCTAGCTCAGTTTTTTAGCCTCCGGCTCACACATTTTTGTCTTAGCTCAGGAAGGATGGCTCCAGAGCAAACTAATTTATGCAATGGCCAAATCACCTGCTCACAACTTTAATGCCGATAGCTCACAAAGTAGAATTTTTGCTCACAGGACTCCACAGCTTAGAGGGAGCACTGGCCTGGACTCCTTTCCTTTCATTTATTAGCTTAACTGATGAGAGGTCTTAAGCCAAACGTACAAAGGAGCCTGGACTCCGAGCTGGGAGAATTGGGTTTGATTCCCCACTCCCTCACATGCAGCTGCTGATGTGACCTTGGATCAGTCATGGCTCTCTCAGAGTTGTTCTCTCACAAGCAGTTCTCGAAAGAGCTCTCTCAGCCCCACCCAACTCACAGGGTGTCTGTTGTGGAGAGAGGAAGGGAAAGATGATTGTAAGCCGCTCTGAGACTCCTTCGGGTAGTGAAGGGTGGGGTATAAATCCAACCTCTTCTCTTCTTCCCCACTACACCGGCTTCTGGTGGGGAATGCAAAAATCATGTCAGATTACAGCCCCCCCATCTGTGATCCCCCCCCTTTTATGGAAGGATAACTGCAATTGTTCTCCTTCACCCCACATCCATCTTTCCCCCATCTTCCAAAGAAAGGAAAGAAGGAAGGGGAGGGGAAGAAGAAAGAAAGAAAGAAAGACAGACAGACAGACAGAAAGAAA